TGGGCTGACAGCTCAGAGCCTGGAGCCTGGAGCCTGGAGCCTGCATCAGATTCTGGGTCTTCCTCTCTCTCTGCCCCTCCCCCGCTAGCACTCTCTCTTAAAAATAAATAAACATTAAAAAAAAATTTTTAAGTAATACCTAGTCAGTAAAAAACAATTCAGGAAATATATGAAAGAATAAAGAAAACTAAAAGTCCCCCAAATCCCATCATCCAGAGATGCACTCAACAATATTTTGGTATATATTCCTCTAGATTTTTAAAAAATCCTAGGCTGCAAAGTCACATTATTTTCATCAGTAGTTTATGCATTCTAAAGGAAAAGTTCATGTGTTTACAGACTATATTAACAAATGTTATGTAGGGGGCAAGTCTGTGACAGCTAAAGTCATTCTTAGTTTTTGTTAACTTGCTTCTGAACTAGGAAAGTAAAAATTGAAATTCAGGTATGTTACAGTGAATGCATTTCTGAAAATCAGAGATTAAAAACAACTGTTATATATCCTGATCATCCACTCTATAACCTGTCTACCCTACAAACCAGTTGTTTAACCAACAATTATTTTACCACACTGCCAAAACAATATTAAAACATCAGAAATGCAAGACCCATTTTTCCACAATCCCATCAACAAATCAGAAATCTTTCCAAATCAACTTTTGCCCATAATTCAATTGCATATTCAATTTTTATGTATTTATAGGAATTATTACAGATGTAACTTACATTCTGCCTATTCACCTAGAGTTGTGTCTTATGTATTTTTCAATTTTGTTTTCATTTGTCCTTTCCCACTCCCACCCCCTTGTTTTGCTACTTCCCACCCCTTGAATTAAACAATTTAAGTCTGGAAAGCATTTTTCTACTTTTATTAATTCTATTCAGTATACACAGGGAGATTTTTCCCCCAAATTTTCCTCATAAATGTGTGTGTGTATGTGTGTGTAAATGAGGGTAATTCTGTACATACCCTTTTCTAACCCAGTAGTTCTCAAACTTCACTGTACATTAGAATTGTCTGAAGGTTTTTTACAAACGCAATGCCCAGACTGCACTCATATCAATTAACCAGAATGTCTGGGTGAGGAAGCCAAGCATCAATATGTTTTTAAAGATCCCTAGGTGATTCTGATGTGCAGCAAGATTTTGTAACCATCATTTTAACATTTTCCTTTTTTTAGTTAATAATACATTATTTTTATCTTTATTAATCTTTTCCCTTGTAAAATCATATAGATCAATATGACTATTTTTAATTATTGCAGAGCATTTCATTGTACTGATGTAACATGATTTATTTAACCAATCCCCTATTTCTGCTATTTAGAATGTTCAGTCTATGTTAAAAGTTTCTTCCTGCCCTTTCAGGTTCTGTCTTAACTGTGAATGATAAAACTGAGAACTATATTCTGGACACTTGGCTTGGCTCCCAAGAATCTCTGAAATGTGCTGTTAAAAACCACACCAGGGAGGAAGAACTACTCTGGTACCGAGGAGAGGGGACAGTGGATTTGAAATCTGGAAACAAAATCAACTCCAGTTCTGTCTGTGTCTCTTCCATCAGTGAAAATGACCACGGAAT